ACGCCTCTGCGTGAAGTGGGTGCTGGCCACCTCCACGTTTTGTCCCAGGGAACCAGTGACGCCTCTGCGTGAAGTGGGTGCTGGCCACCTCCACGCTTGTTGTACTGAGGCTTCCTCATGCTGACAGTGAAACCAGGAAAGGCCAACACAGACTTCCCAGGGTTCATTTTTTAATTTGGCAGTTCTTTCATCTCTTTACCTTGACCGCCACTTTGGTCACAAATAGAGTGTAAGAAACTGTGGAGAAGACCAGGCGGAACTCAATGCCGGAGCAGGGCACACCCAGTCCCTGTGCCAGGATCCACACCGACAGCTGCAGGCCCAGGAAGCTCGGGCCAAGCGTCCAGGGTGTGTAGCCCTTCACCCTGAGGCCAGGACCGCGCTGCTCTTCTTGTCCTTTTCTCCTGTCCTCTTCTCATCTAGGTTCCTATTTATATTGGGGAGCAGATATACACACCCCGCGTTTTTCATTGCAGTACTCGTTCATACCTATTTTGCATATTGATGCAGCCTGATTATGGTCAAACAATTCTTTTTACTTAGAACTACTAGTTTGTAGCATGTTTTACATAAACTGTAAAATTAGTCATCACTGACAAGTTTGAACAGTGAAGTCAGCATGTCCGTGTGTGCCCATGTATGTGTACATGTGCCCCTGTATGTGTGTGCACTTGGAGACACAGAGGCAGCTTGTAAGCTGGAGTCATTCCTTAGACGTTTTAATAGTGAAAAGGTCTGTGGGTGCAGGCGTGTGTGTGTGCATATGTGGTCATGTGTGTAAGTGTGTGCTTATAGGCTGGAACCTTTTCCGAGAGGTTTTAGCAGGGAAGTGTTTGTGTGTGCATGCATTTGATGTGAAGGCAAGCACATGTGATAGGGGTGTGTGTGCATGAGCACACATGCTCACATGTGCCTGTATGTGGATGTATGTGTGCATGCATATACATGTCTGTGCAAATGTAAAGATTTGCACATGTGTCGGTGTGCATGGTGCACACGTATGTTCATGGACTGGAGTAATTCTAGAGGGGTTTTTAACAGTCGTGTGTGTGTGTGTGCACGCAGAGACAGCTTTGTGTAGGGGCGTCCTTTGTGTCTCCTTTGTATTTTCTCTGTATGTGTCTCCTCTCTATGTCTCCCTCTGTATTCCTCTCTCTGTATCTTCTCCTTCTCTCTGCGTGTCTCTCTTTTTCTGCGTTCCCTTTCTCTGTGCCCCCTCTGTGCAACCCCCATATCCCCCTCTCTGTGTCGCCGCTTCTCTCTGTCCCTCTTCTTTTGTCCCCTCTCTGCATCCTCTGTGTCCCCCTTTGTGTATCTTCCCCTTCTCTGTGTACCTCTCTCTATCCCCCTCTGTGGGTCCTTCCCTTCTCTGTGCCCCCTCTGTTAGTGTCCCTCTCTGTGTGTCTTCCCTTTCTCTGTGTCTCTCTTTCTGTGTCATATTCTCTCTCTTTCTCTCTTTCTGTGTTATTCTCTCTCTCTCTCTCTCTCTCTCTCTCTCTTTCTCTCTCTCCCCCGTGTGTCTTCCCCTTCTCTCACTGTATGTCCCTCTTTCTGTGTCCTCCCCTTCTCTGTGTACCTCTTTCAGTGTCATCCTCATCTCTATGTGTCTCCCTCTCCCCTGTGTCCACCTCTGTCCCTTCTCTGTGTTCCCCTCTCTTCTGTCTCACCCCCACATTTCTTCCCTCTCCCTTGTGTCCCCCTCTCTGCACCTCCGAGTCCTACTTGTCCTTCTGCACTGTTGTGTAGTTCTTTGGTGGGGGTGTTGGTGTTTGTATGTGTGTGTTGGCAGAGGTAGGTGCTGGTAGGTTTTGTGTGTGTGTGTGTGTGTGTGTGAGGCAGGTAGTTTTGTGAGGGTGTGCCTGTGTGTTGGCAGTTTTGTGTGCATTGGAAATTTTATGTGTGGTGATAGAATGGTGTATGTATTGATGGGTTTTGTGTGTTTGTGCGTGTTGCTAGTTTTGTGCACACATTTGTATGTGGGTGGGGTAGTTTTTTGTGCATATATATGTGCATTGGTAGTTGTATGTGTGTTGTTGATAGATGCATATGTGTTGGTGGGGAGAGTGTGTGTGTGTTTTGGTGGCTTTGTGCACACATTCTTAAGTGTAAGTATTGGGAGTTTTGTGTGTAGATGTGTGTTTGCTAGTAGCTTTGTACATATGCATGCATGTTGGTAGTGTTATGCATGCATGGTGATATTTATATGTATGTGTGTTGGTACAGGGTGTGTGTGTACTGGTGGTTTGGTGTGTGCATACATGTGTGGTGGTACTTATGTATATGTGTCTTAGGGGTATATACTGGTAGTTGTGTGCATGCATGTGTGATAGTAGTGTGTGTATGTTGGTAGTGTGTATGCATGTGTTCATAATTTTGGTATGTGTGTGTATTGGTAGTTGTGCGTGTTGTTACTTTGGTCTATATTGGTAGCTGTGTGTGCACGTGCATACATATTGATAGTTTTGTGTGTGTTCAGTTTTTGCACACATTCATGTGTGTTGGTTTTGTGTGTGTGCATGTGTGTTGGTGGGTGTGTGCATGCGTGGGTGGTTTACTTGTGTGGTGTAGGTGGTTGTGTAGGTGTGGTGTTGGTGGTTGTGCAGGTGGGGGGTTGGTTTTGTGTGTGTGCATGTGTGTTGGTGGATATGTATGTGTGGTGTTGGGGGGGTGTGTAGGTGTTGGTGGGTATGTGTATGTAGGGGTGGTTTACATGTGTGGTATAGGGGGTGTGTATGTAGGTCTTGGTGGTTGTGTATGTGCAGGTGTGTTGGTGGATGTGGGGGGTGGTTTACGTGTTTAGGTGTTGGTTTTGTATGTGTGCACATGTGTGTTGGTGGGTGTGTAGGTGTGGTGTTGGTGTGTGTGTGTGTGTGTAGGTGGTTTACGTGTATGGTGTTGGTGGGGGTGTGTGTGCAGGTATGTTGGGTGTGTGTAGATGTTGGTGGGTGTCTATATGTTTGGGTGGTTTACGTGTGTGGTGTTTGTGGGTGTGTGTAGGGGTGGTGTTGGGGTGTGTGTGTAGGTGTGTGCAGGTGTGTTGGAGGTATGTTTATGTGTTGGGGTGTATAGGTGTGGTGTTGGGGGGGTGTGTGCAGGTGTGTTGGTGGGTGTTTGTATGTGTTGGTGTGTGTGTAGGTGTGGTGTTGGGGTGTGTAGGTGTGGCGTTAGTGGGTGTTTGAATGAGTTGGGGGGGTGTAGGTGTGTTGGTGGGTGGGTGTGTGCAGGTATGTTGATGGGTGCTTGTGTAGGTGTGGTGTTGGGTGGGTGTGGTGTTGATGGGTGTGTGTAGGTGTGGTGTTGGTGGGTGTGAGTAGGTGTGGCATTAGTGTTTGAATGAGTTGGGGTGTGTTGGTGGGTGGGTGGGTGCAGGTGTGTTGGTGTGTGTGTGTGCAGTTTTGTGAACATGTGCATGCCCATTGGTGACTTTGTATGTGGAAGAGTAGTTTGGTGCATGTGTGTGCATGTCAGAGTTAGGTGTGGGTGTGGGTAGTTTTACGTGTGCTGGTGGTTTAGAGAGTAACTTCTGCAGCAGTACCCTTGCATATGTGTTGCTGAGACACATAGTCTTGTCACATACAGTGTAATCTTGCAGTGCTGTCCCACGGAGAGCCGTATGCTCTGAGTCTGCAGTGGACACTGGATATGTGTTGACAAGCAGGTTCACAGTGCTGCTGCTTATCTTAAACCAGGTGTTGATGATGCAGTTTTAGTTGCTTTCTTGAAAATCTAGGACACATTGTTGTTATAAAAAATGTGAAATTGTCTTACTATATTAATGTTAAATTTCCCAACTCCCATTTTCAGTGAATTGAGTTCTGTTATGATGGGTCCAGAGTTGCATTGTAGTGACAGTGACTTTGCTTATCATCCATATGTGTCCCTCTCTGACAGGAAGACAGTGACCCCCCTGTGCATGAGAGCCTCAGCATAGAAAACACACTGTGGGCCAGCACTGTGGTGGCTTCAGGTAAGAGACGACTTCTGCTTCTGTGTCAGTTCCCACCTGAGGGCATGCAGGCAGCCTGGCTGCGCTGCTGACCAGGGGTCAAGCTGTTCACCCACTTAGCCGACTCTGACACAGCCAGGTGGCTGAGGGGAGGTGACAGTTGTAACCAGGGCATCCCCGCTGCTTCCCACAGCGTCCCCTCTTCCCCCTCACTGTGTCCTCTCTGCCCTCTCACTGCATCCTGTCTGTCTCCTCATGGCATCCTCTCTGCCCCCACATGATGTCCACTCTGTCACCTCATGGTGTCTCCCTCGTGGTGTCACAGGGAGAGGTGTTTAAGGACAGGAGGAGAGGTATGTGAAGATGAGAGGAGGAGAGTGTGCAGATGAGGGAGGGATGGGTGAGGATGGAGGAGGCATGTATGTGGTCACAGAAGGGTATGAGGATGGGTTCCTGTGCAGCTGTGACAGTGGGAGAGGGGTGTGGCCAGACCTCCAGCCCTGGAGGGGCTCAATTATCTGGGTTCTAGGGTGGGAGCAATGGGGTCTTGATGTTTCTGCTCCCAGGACCCAGCGGCTGTGAGCGTGTGTTCATTCCACTGCGTTGAGGGTGGCAGGAGGCTGAGGTGCCTGAGGGCAAGGTGATGTTGGTGCCTTCCGGGGATGGTACCGAAGACCCTTAGATTCAGTAGGGCAGCAGCTGTTGTTGGGAGACACACCATGCCACCATGCCCTCACCTCAGTCTAAGCCTTTGGGTTCGTGGGTCATGTCAGGGCAGACCATGTGGTACTGGCCATGCTATACCATGGAGTGGCCATTGAGACACCTCCGCCCCCCACCCAGCCAGGCTTCCTCCTCAGCCTCGAGACCTCTTTGAACTCAGTCTTTGCAGCTTGCTTCGTTTAGATTCCTTTGATACAAAAATTAACAGAACGTTTGTCATTCCAGCTAACTCACATGCACATATCACACATTGCTCTCCATTCCCTGTACATGCTCACTTCACCTCCATCTCTCTGCATTTATTTCCATCTCTCAGCCCACAGCGGGCCCCCCTGCGCCCCGGAGCCGTCCAGTGTGTGCACAGGGTCCCCTCTGTGTATGAGGACCCAACCAGCGGACACACAGTTGCCCTGTGGCACTACAGGGTTTACTGTTGGGCAGGAGACATGAGGAAACAGTGTTGAAGGTGTGAGGTTGTTGACCAAAATCACAGAGATGCTCACAGTCACCCAGGGTCCCTTCCTCAAGAGTCAGAGCTGAATTCTCTGAGGAGAACTCTTGAGTGGAGAGCCAAAACTCATGGGGTGTGGAGCAGAGACCAGCATTCACACTGAGCAAGTCAGGGGCGGAGACCAGAGATTCAGTGACTTCAAGTAAAAAGTGAGGAACAGGAACAGAGAACAAATGTCCGTATAGAACAAGTGAGGGATGAGAACAGAGACAGTGTCCACATGGAACAGGTGAGGTACAGGGCCAGAGATGCAGTGCATTCAGGTAACTAGTGAGGAATAGGGACAGGGACCCAGTGTCACTCAGAACAAGTGCGAGATAGGGCCAGTGTCCATTCCTAACAAATGAGGCACAGGTACAAAGGCAGTTTCCACCCTCAAGTCAGGGAGTATGCTGCTTTGGAGACTAGGACAGACAGGCGGGGAAGAGCACAAGATGGTCAGAGTCGGAGACCCAAAGGGACTCCATCTCTGGGCTCTGCTTGCCTGTTTCTCATGGACTGCCCCCTGTCAAGTGCCATCTCTGACTCCTTTCCCTGAGGTCCTGGGCTGGGCCAAGCTGCTGTTGCAGCCTTTGGAGTGCAGGCGGGCAGACTGAAGACGGGCAAGCCGACTGCAGCCCCCATGGTGGAGCAGCTGTGCCGCCTGTGGGTACCGTGCTTGACAAGGATTGGACGTGCTGTGATTCTTAGCACTGCTCTTAGCTTTCCCTGTTTGTCTGACACACACATATTCATATACGTATTTGCAAAAGCACAAAGAAATACTTTTTGTTGTTGTTGTATCTTTGTTTGAGTAAACTTGACCATTAATCATTGGTCACAAGTGGTCTGGGTTTTCCACTTAGTATATGGATACGAGGGTGCACCAGTAGCCTAGTGGCAAGAAGCTGTGCTGCAATCCCGAAAGCACGTGGTTTGGATCCACCAGCTACTCTGCAGGAAAAGGATAGGCAGTCTCTTTCCACACAGTTAACTGCCTCTGAACCCGCTGAAGAGTCCACTGTGGGTTGGTTCCAACTCTGCAGTACGCAACAACAACATATCGATATGATTTCCTCTGATGATTCTTCAGTTAATTTTGAACATACGAGATTTGGAACAGGTGATATTGACATTTGTAGCATCAGGTGAAACTCTAGTGTAGTTGGCCTGTCTTTTAATAGCACGTGCTACTTTCTGATTGATAGTTGTACAAAACAAGTGTTTTCATAGGGAGAAATTCCATTTTGTTCCTAAAGTCATTACTAGCCTTTTTCGCCCTGCTTCTTGCTCTACAGTAAGAAGGTTTACATACAGTACAATTAGAAGGTGGTAGGGTTTTACATGAAATTTTCTAAGTAACATGTAACAAGGAAATCACCTAACAGCTAACAAATGTAATTTGTATTCCCCTGAACAGAAAGTGAGAATGAGGAGATGTATGAGACTTGGACTGTGTGATGACTTTCAAGCTCTGGCCATGGGGTAGACCTTTAATAAGAGGCCGCATGTTCAATATGTCTTGATGTTCGTCAATCAGGACCACCAAGGGGTCTGCATCCCTGACCTTAATGGTGTACTTTCTGTAATGAGGCATAACCAGAATTCTGTATTCATTTGAAAGAAATTATATTCCATTTGAGATTTGCAACGTGGGTCAAGCGAATAAATAAATAAAACCACTGTCATTAAAGAAACACAGAGACAGAAACACATATACCTATCAACATGTTTTCTGTGTGAATATTTGTCTTAATTATGCCCCATTACCATTATGCTTAGGGAGTGGGGAGGATAGCTAACCCCAGCCAAGCCGCAGAGCCTCTGGGGCTAAGAAGACTGAGAGCAGCCTGGTACCTCTTTGTTGCGTAGGAGTTGCTGGGTGCTGGCCACCACCTGCAGCGGTTGCAGCAGGGCACTTTCACACATGTAGCACCAGCACTTCTTCCTTCCACCTGTTGAGAGTTAGCTTGTTTTGAGGTGACTTCGTTTTCCAGTACAGCTGTCCCCGAAATGCTGCAGGAGGTAGCTTGAACAGTTTCTTCTTTCATGGGTTAGGAGGTTCAAGTCCAAGTCCAGGACCTGGCATTGGGGTGGCTCCTTGATCTGTGGTTCCCTGTATCTGCAAGTTGTATGGTGTTACCCCATCTCTGCCTGCCTCTTTGTGCATAACCTGCTCTTTATATAGTAAAGGAGACTGATTAAAACATGCCCTACACTGATAGGTTATTTTACTCCAATAGTTTTTGGATAATTTTCAGCAGAATCTTGCTTGCATGTGGTATTAATGATATTGTTCAATAATATCCACACTCTGTTGGGTCATCTTTCTTTGGAATGGGAACAAATACCGATCTTTTCCAGTCAGTTGGCCAGCTGGCTGTCCTCCAGATTTCTTGGCATAACTTAGTGAGCACATCCAGGGCAGCATCTGTTTGTTGAAATATGTCAGTTGATATGCCGTCAATTCCTGGAGCCTTGTTTTTTGCCAATTCTTTCAGAGCAACTTGTACTTCTTCCTTCATCACCACAGTCTCTTGCTGATATGTTATTTCATAAAACTTTTCTGTGTCAGCCAATTCCTTCTGATACAGTGACTTTGTGTACTCCTTCCATCTTCAACAGAGAACTGCCAGATGTGTAGGCTGGATTTAGAAGAGGTCGTGGTACTAGGGATATTATGGTTAATGTTAGATGGATCTTGGCAGAAAGCAGAGAATACCAGGGGAATGTCTATCTGTGCTTCATTGACTATGCAAAGGCTTTTGACTGTGTCACAACAAGCGGTGGCTGATTCTGAGAAGAATGGGAATCCCAGAACATTTGATTGTGCTAATGTGAAACCTATACTTGGACCAAGAGGCAGTCGTCAAGACAGAGCAAGGAGACACTGTATGGTTCCAAATCAAGAAGGGGGTCCGTCAGGGATGTATTCTGTCTCCATATTTTTCAATCTGTATCAGAACAGATCATCCGAGACACTGGGCTGTACAAGGAGGAATGTGGCATCAGGACTGGTGGAAGAGTCATCAACAGCCTGTGTTATGCAGGTAACACAACCCTGCTTGCTAAAACTGAGGAGGACCTGAAGCACTTGTTGCAAAAGATCAAGGAGTGCAGCCTTCAATACAGATTGAAGCTCAACATCAAGAAAACAAAGATTCTCACCTCTGGGCCAATTGGCAGCATCAGTATGGATGGTGAAGAGATTGAGATAGTTAACAGTTTTAGTTTGCTTGGCTCCACAGTCAACACTCTTGGTACCAGCAGCCAGGAAATCAGGAGATGAATTGCATTGGAAAGTCAGCTGTGAGGGACCTCTCAAGAGTACTGAAGAGCATTGACATCAGTCTAGTGACTAAGGTGCACCTGATCTGGGCTATAGTCTTCGCAGTTAGGTGCTATGCATTGGAGAGCTGGGCAGAGACTAGGGACGATAGAAAGAGAACTGGTGCCTTTGAGCTGTGCTGCTGGAGACGAATGTTGAATATACCATGTTCTAGGAGAACAAACGGGTTTGTCCTGGAGAGGGTGAAGCCGGAATGCTCCTTGGAGTCAAGGATTCTGAAGCTTCGTCTGACATAACTGTGGACACGTTGCAAGGAGGGACTGGTTGTTGGAGATGGACGTCATGCTTGGGAGTGTGGAGGGACAGCACAGAAGAGGAATACTCTCTATGAGATGGATCGATTCTGTGATTGGGGTGGTGGGAATGAGTGTGTCGGAGACGGTGAAGTTGGCACAGGATAGAGCAGGGTTTAGGGCTCTTGTACATAGAGTCGCTATGAGTCACAGTGACTTGATGGCACATAACAGCAAGAACACTGATAGGGCCTCTACAAAGTAAGCCTGTTCCCAGATGACATTGCATCTGCAAGTCTAGCAGTTACAGTTTACAGCATCTCTGAGGGATCACAGCCCAACCTGTAACAATGCAGTTGTGTTTCTCATGCACAGCATGATCTTGAATACGTAGAAACTTCGTAAGTTGGAGCCAGTGGAAAGAAATGTAACTTCCTACTAACACTCATAGATCTCAGCTGTGCTACAGATTTTTATAGTAAATCTGTAATGCACATTTTTTTATTTCAGGATTTTATTAGATGAAACTTTTAAACACTAGGACTCAGCTTTTCCTTGTTTTTGGCACAAAACAGAGTGAGTATGTTGTATTTTTGCCCCTGCATCATTGTCTAAACTAACTTTCCATCCCACCCTCAGTTCTCTGCTGTGTGGTGGGGGTTTCCCAGTCCTGCAGCCTGCGCTCCTCAGTCAGGACTTGCCCTTGTCAGAAGGCATAATGTTCTGGGTATGCCTGTAGGGACTGGTGATTTAGTAACTGAAAATGAAGACAGATGCAGAGAAGGACTGTGCACTGAGTTTTAGTGAGAGTCGGTGAGGAGCTTGAGAATGCTCAGACATTAGCAGCTGTTTAGACATGGACCATCTGGACATGTCTGAGTGAGGGTGATCTGCTATGTGGAACGGTGTGGCGTGCTGCAGTCAGCAAAGGGAGACATGTCTGCTGGTCATCTCATTTTTCAAACTTAGAGTTCTTTGAGCCACTCTCTGTTACTCCTGTGTAATACACATAGATCACAGCCTGTAACATGCCTGCTACTCCTGTGGTACACGTGGATGACAGCCTGTAACACCCCAGTTACTACTGTGTTATACACGTGGATCACAGCCTGTAACACCCCTGTTACTGCTGTGATACACGTAGATCACAGCCTGTAACACCCCCATTACTACTGTGTGATACACGTGGATCACAACCTGTAACACCCCTGTTATTCCTGTGGTACACATGAATCACAGCCTGTAACACCCGTTACTACTGTGTGATACACGTGGATCACAGCCTGTGACACCCCTGTTGATCCT